ACTAAGCTTTCAAGCTTTTCTCTGCCTATGCCTTTCTTCAAAAAATTATGGATTCCAGAGACAAGCATTTGGTTTGTCTGCTTTGTATATGCCTATCCCAATAAAATGTGTTTATCGAACTCCTTTAAAATAGTTCTCGGCTCAGTTGCACAATGAATAGTAGGTTGGACTTCTCAAACAGTAGCTCTCAAATATTCGTGTGTCTCAAAATCACGTGGTGTGGCATGTTGGGGGGTGATGTTTATTATGATGAAGATTCACAGGCTCTATACCTAGAGGGAAAGCCTTGTGCTGGGCCAAAGAATCTGCATTTTAACAGGTAATCACGTGATTCAGATACAATTGGTCCATTGGCCAGGCATGGAGGCACTCAATTTGGGGCATGATTCTAAATCCTTTCTGCAAAACTAACAGTCGTTTTATATGTGATTTATCTGAGTTTTCACAAGTGTTTGACAAAAAAATCTCAGAACTAGTTCAGAGACCAAAGAATTCAACCATTTCACTTCTTAGATGAGGAAACTAGAAAGTGACTTGGAGAGGTGACGTGACGCGCCTCAGGATACATCTAGCTAACTCCTGAGCCCAGACTCAAACCCAGCTGGGACAGTCACTCGGCTGTAATCCAAAGCCCGTCTGGTGTTCAAGACTCTCCCATAAAATTATAACCCGCAATTTCCCTGACCCTGGTGTGCATGCACGTGGCTTTGCTAGGCAGCAGATGTTCCTGAGACGTGTGGGTGGAACAGTGAGACCCAGTAGCTGAGCCACATGCTCTGGATGCTCTGAGTCAAGGCCTGCCAGATTCTAGGGTGTTTGGGGAATGTTCTAAAGCTGAGCAATTCAGGAGCAGATGAGGTTACCTTCCACAATCTTCCAGAGGGATGGAAACTTCTACAGATGCTGGACGTTGTGAAGGATGAGAATGACTACTTTTTTTTAAGGCTCGGTGGTAGGTACATGAAGATTTCATTGTATTACTATTATTCCTTAAACAGCAAAATATTTCATAATAAAAAATTTAAAAAGGAAACAAGAGATGTGGAAAGGAAGGAAAAGACCTCTTAGTGTGGTGAAGTAGACACTTGAAAGACCGCAGTCTCGTAGTGGGATGCTGAGAAAACACAACCAACACAAAGTTTATCAGATCTTGGTGCAGTTCTGTGGGGGTAATTCTCATATTTTGGTTTTCATAATCATCTGAGAAGCTGGTGTCATGTCACATACCATCCACCAAGAAAAATTCCAAATACTAAAAAATGCAACCAAAATAGAACACGAGATAATTATCTTGTAATACAGAGTGATGAAGACTTTTGAATTATGTCTCAAATTCAAAAGCCATAAGAAAATGGTTGCTATATTTGACTACAAAAAAAGATTAAATCTGCATGGCAATAAAACATCAGCAAGCTCAAAAGGCAACAAAAGAAATAGGAAAAATATTTGGAATCACATCACAAATAAAAGGCTCATCTGTCTAATACATAAATTAATAAGAAAAAGACCAACAAGCCAGTAGAAATATTAATAAAAGTAAAAAAGGAATTGCCAATGGCTTTTTATCATGTATATAAATATGGTCAAAATTTACTGAAAATAAGTACAAATTTATATCTCAGCATACTTTTTACCTATTAGCAAAATTTTGAAAGATTAATTATACATCATATTGACAAAACTTTGGAGAAATAAGCTGTCTCATACTCTGATGGGATAAATCTGAATTCCCTTTCAAGGGAGATTTAGCAATATCTGTTAAAATTGCAACTATGACCCACTCTTTACAGAAATTTACTCTGCATTGAATGTGATGCAACCCAAAGATGATCACTGCGGCTTTGTTTGCAATAGCAAAAGATTAGAAACAACCTAAATGACCAACAATAGAGGCCTGACCAAATAAAATACGGTACATTTGCATGATGAAAGATTATGACTCTATAAAAAAAACTTTGTGGCTCTTTATGCATTAATATAGAAAGATTCAGAAGAACATATTGGAAGGATACACAGTAAATGTGGTTACCATGGAGGGGTATGAGATGAGGAATAGTGTGGAGGGAAAACTTTTCACTGTTTTTCTTTTTATGTGCTTTTTTATTTTTGAAGTATATAAATACCTTATCTATTCAAAATTTAATTTAGGCCGGGTATGGTGACTCACTCCTGTAATCCCAGCACAGTGAGAGGCTGAGGCAGGAGAATGGCTTGAGCCTTATGAATTTGAGATCAGCCTGCGTAACACGGCAAAACCTCATCTCTACACAAAAATTAGCCAGGTGTGGTGGTACATGCCTGTAGTTCCAGCTACTCAGAAAGCTGGACGATCACCTCAGCCCAAGGAAGTCGACGCTGCAGTAAGCTATGATTTCACTGCTGTACTCTAACCTGGGTGACAGAGTGAGACCCTCTCTGAAAAAAAAATAGTAATTTATTTTATTTAAATAATTAAGGAGCCTGTTAGACATGTATGCAGTTTTCCCCAACATTAACTCCAATGAAATTAAATCTCCAGGAATGAATACTGCTATGCTCTCATCCCTAAGGATATATTGAGTTATTTCTTTAAAAAACACTTGCAGCCAGGCATGGTGGCTCACGCCTGCAATCCCAGCACTTTGGGAGGCCGAGACAGGTGGATCACCCAAGCTCAGGAATTTAAGACGTGCCTGGCCAGTATGGTCAAACCCCATCTGTACAAAAATACAGCTACTCAGGAGACTGAGGCAGGAGAATCGCTTGACCCTGGAAAAAGGAGGTTGCAGTGAGCCAAGACTGCGCCATTGCACTCTAGCCTATGCAACAAGAGCAAAACTCCGTCTCAAAAAAAAAAAAAAAAAAGACTTGCACTCCTTCAGCTCTAGTTTCTGAGTTTAAAGTAACAATGCAAAGCATCTCGCACATAGGAGATTGAGTATAGAGCGAATCTGCCATCTGCCCAAGTTTTCTAAGATGGATGTTGTAATTATTATATGGCTTCCAAAAAACAATTTGTACAATTTATGGCCACGAATCGTTTCCATTTCTCTCCTCTTTTTTTGCTATTATATTTAAAAAAAGATTGAAAAGAAAAAAAATCCATTTTGTGCTCTGGGTAATAAATGGAGGGAGAGAAAGCCAGCTAGGCATCAACCATCGTCTCTAACCATTATCATCCGCATTTGTGCTCATGGTCTGTCCAAAACAACAGCATATATTTATTAAAAGACCACAGTGGAAACAAACAAACAAAAATCCCAAACCCATGGCTAAACTGTAAAGTCATCAACAATTGATCTTTTCGGACATCTGCTAAAGTGAAATACACAAATATTCTATGGCTCAGCAGTTGCAGCCTTTGGTACATATCAAAAGAAATGGGCTCTTTCATTAACAAAAGAAGCATTATGCATAATAACCCCCAAAATAGGACATTACCCAAATGTTCTTCAAGATTAGAAGAGAGACATCCATTTGTGGTGTATTCCAACAATGAAACTCTATACAGCAATGAGAATGAAAGAACCTAAATTACAGGCAACAACGTTGCAAACAGAATGTTAAGCCAAAGAAGACAAAAAAGAAAAGAGTATGGCTTTATTTATATGTTAAAATAGCAGGCACTAAGAATCTATGGCTTTAGAAGTGCAGGTGGTCAGTAGAAGATATTGACTTATTGACTGGAAGAGGGTGTGGGGTGGGGTTCCAGGGAGTGATGACCTGGATGGTCAGTTTGTGCAAAGCCTTAAAGCACCATATTTAATATCTGTGAATTTTCTGCATTTTTGTTATACTTCAAAAGTTTAAAAAAATCATTCCAGGCCAGAATGAGCATTATGGGAATGAGTTTTTGAGAAATCACAGACTCAACTTCTAAATAAATGCTCTCCCAGACCCTGCTGAGATGCCAAAGAGATTCCAAAGGCACAGAACTGAAAGGACAGAATCCTCACAGCTAAGCTACTGGGGAATTATGCAGAAATCCGGGCTTTGATGCTTTAGAGATGCCTCCGTCTCCCCCTACCAGACACAAAGCCAGCATCAAGGCCTTCAAAATGGGCTTGCAGAGCAGCCGAAGAGGAGGCTATTTATTATGCTGCAAGGAGACTGCACCTGCAGTCACATTTCCATGCAGGAATCTGTGACAACTGAAATGCCCTATATGAGCTAATTTTCTGGATAATCGAAATCCTCTTATTAAACAACTCCCTGATTTAAGATAAAATCATTTTTATTGAATTTGATCCTTTCTAAAATGGATTTCATGCATTCCTGACTTTTTAGAAGAGTCCATGGAATCGAATTTAGCCTTTACAATAAATAACAACACTGACATTTAGGTACTATCTATTTCCTATCCAAAATACTTTCCATCAAATTATCTCTCTTAGGTACTAGTATTATTCCCATCTTAGGTATGGGGCTATGAGGTCTGAGAAACTCTCTCTCCAAAATCTACATTCCCAACCCCGGTGCTATCTTTTCTTCATAGCTTCAGCTATGGAGACTGTGTTACACTCCACGATACCAACACATAGACAAGAATGCCAGCTGTAACTTGAATGATTTGAGTTCTCATTGCTTTCTCCCATCTTTTCTTTCTTTTCATCAATATTATAGAATTAGCTATTTCATAAAGCTCCTGTCGGCAAGATACTCCTCTCCACTCCCAGAAAACCTCCTACCTAAAATCTGATAAAAATCTTTGTCTTGGATCTTTCTATTTGGTTAAAATATCCTATGGAGTCGGACAAACTTCTTTATCAGTTTAAGAAACCTTTCTGGTTCTGTGTATTTCAAAGCATCCTGGATTTGCTTTTTCTTACCCAAACTCAGAAGGAAACCTGGGATGTTCATTAGATTAACAAAACAGCCCTCAACTGGGGCCCATCTGGACTGCAGTCACTCTCCAGAAATACAAAAATGGGAGTAGATAAGAACTGAGGCACGCCGAGAGTCAATTTCTGTAAGGTTTATCACCAGCAGACCTGTGGAGAAAAGGAAACCACCATCCTTACCCCGTTTTCAGGCTGACCAAGGCATCCTCTACTCCCTTCTGATTAAATTTGGTCATGTACTGATGCATGTAGGGGTAGTTATTCCGAATGTTTCTCTCCGTGCTTCCATTAGGGACTGTCCCAAATCGAAAAGGTGGGGAATAGTCATGAGGTCTCTGAAACTGGAGAGGGAAGGAGAGGAAGAGAAAGAGAGAGAAGGAAAAGGAGGAGAAGGGAGGAGAGAATAAGAAATTAGTGATCATTTTGTCTGGTGTTAGGAGTTGAACACATGCATGCATTAAGGCAGAACGGCAACAAAATGCTTATTTTTGGTCTCTCTTTCTACTTAATCATATCCTCAGCTGATCTGTGAGTTCCAGGAAGATGGACACAGCATGTTTTCTTCTGTACTATTGCTCAGATTCTAGCACAGGGGCTAGCTGGGTGCTCCATAGGTATTTGTGAAGTTGAATTTTTCAGCGCCTTTATAGAGACTAGCACAGTGTTAGGCACACAGTCAGTGCTTAGAAATGCTGAATGAGTTGAATTTAAGGTACTACCTTTGTCCAGTCCATTTATCTACTTTGTGATGAAATTTTCTATGATCCCCACCAATCACTCCCTTCTCTGAACTCCATTTATAAATACCTTCATCTCACCCAGAAAATGACTATATATTGCCATTTATTCATTCTCCATTCAGTCATTCATTGCCTCCTGAAGGCAATATTTACCTAGTGCCTAACATATCCCAGGCATAATGGCCAGCGTATGGTAGGCTCCATGAATACTTGTTGAGCCAGAGTCCTTGTTGATCTTTAGCTTTCAGCGATGCACAGCACTCGGCTCTCAAGCCCCCCATAAATGCCTGTAGTCCATGCATCACCAGTCTTCCCTGATGAACTGGCTGATAATGTATGTCCACAACTTCAATGTTTTGGGTGTCTCAACAAGAGTCAAAGTCGAGAGAACCAGATCTGAGTTCCAGAAATACAGCTAAACACGAGAGATGGCACAGGGCTGTGGTTATAAGTGGGAGCTCGGACTGGCTGGTTGGACAATTGGGTTCTATCACCTACAAGCTATAGAACCCAAGCTAACTCATTCACTTCATGCTGCCTCCATTTATTTTCCATCTATAGAGTGGGGGTCATACCAGGACTTCCCTTGTGGGGTTACCATAAAGATCTCAACATATAACATTTGTCAAGTAAACTGGAATAGTGGCTGGATCAGAGGAAGCACTCGAAAATAAAGCTATTATTATCTTTTGTTGTTACTATTACGGTGAGTAAAAAAGGAAACAGAGCCTTATTTTTCTATGAAATGTTGGATTCTGAAACCCTAGAAAGCAATTACGATAATGACTAACACCTTCTGGGAACCTAGTCGGGTCAAGCACTATACCAAGAACTTGGCAAACGTCAGGTAATTTAATCCTTGCAAAACCATGCCAGGTAGCTAATCTTAGAGGCTCCTTCTTACAGATGAGAAAACTGAGGCTCAGAGAGGTCATGTGACCTAATTAAGATTATGCAACTACCATGCAGTGGCCCAGAATTTAAACCTAGATGTGCCTGACCTCAGGCTGAGGTCTTACTTAACTCTGCCTTTCCTCAGAGACCATTGCTAATGACTCCTCATTTAGACATAAACTACTGGAGATCCCAGGAGGGGAAAAGCACCCAGAAAATCAGTGTCAGAACCAGAACACAATGCAGGTTCTCTCTAACGTCCAGAACAGTGTGTCTTCCGCGGAACCAAGAGCCACCAGGGTAAGTGTACAAATTTACCCAAGAGTCAGACCAGTCAGAAACATTATTCTTTTTTCCAGACTCACACTTCATTTCACCATTAATTAAAATTTCCAGTCAAAAATCATTTTCCCTAAATTAGGCATGCTGCTGCCTAATAAGCAGTCATAAGTGGATTTGGGAGAAGTGGCCATCCGTTGTCCAAATGAGACCCTCTTGCCAGGGCGTGCCTTGCCCTGGGAACATGTGCATCCATGTGTGCATGTGTGTGTATGTGAACAGCAAAATGCTTTTTGCAGTCACCCCACCAAGCAGTGCCTTAACTCATTACCAAAAGCTCAGAAGGCCAGGCCCAGGCTCATCCGCACGGCAGCTGCCTGCTCAGGAGGAGAGAGGTAATTGTGCTGTTCATAAATCTTGTTGTTGTAGGCTGCCGTTTCCAATCTCCAGAGACATCCAGAGATGGCCTATTTGACTAAATGCCTTCCACTTCACTCCCCATCTGTTGCAGAGGAGCTGCACAGGTCTTAAAAAATTCACTTTCTTCCCTGCCTCTGGGTCGCACAGTGGCAGAGACAGATATTCAGTCTCTGTGATGATTTCCACACTCCTCTGGCCTTGATAGTACCATCGCCCAGACAAAATTCAGCCTGACACAAGCTCCAGGAGCCTTTCCCACTAGACTGAAGACTGTCAAGCTCTTTAAAGCATGACTCACAATACATTTGCCATCGCCACTCCATACACACATGCGAAATTTCACAGCACTCATTCTTTCTATCTGTGAAATACTCTGAGGTTATCCATTATGTTCTTTTTTTTTTTTTTTAAAATGTTTACAATCCTTAATTTTATGGCTCACTAAAGAGTCATAACCTACAGCGTGAAAAACAATGAGGGGGCAAGGATGGCTCATCTCTTAAGTTTCAAGGTCTGTATCCAGGACACATTCCATGCTGCCTATGAGAATGATTCCCCCAGAGAATTCCACATGCAAGCAGAAAGAAACCAATGTGGGCTTTAGCAAAGGAAGGGGTAGGGTAGAGGTCTCCATTGTCAGCAAAACCACAGAACAGTGTAATCACAATATCTGGAGTCAGAGGAACTCCCCAGGCTTGTCTGCAGGGTTCCCTTGCTATGTAGGTTAACTGATTTCATCTGGCTTTGGACTTAGAGGAGCCAAATTCAGGTTCTCATCTGCTGCTTAGAAACTGTGCTGTCTGGCTGGGTGCGGTGGCTCATGCCTGTGATCCCAGCACTTTGGGAGGCTGAGGTGGGTGGATCACGAGGTCAGGAGTTCAAGACCAGCGTGGCAAACATGGTGAAACCCCATCTCTACTAAAAATACAAAAAAAAAAAAAAATTTAGCCAGGTGTGGTGGTGGGTGCCAGCAGAGAACTGGTTGAACCTGGGAGGCAGAGCTTGCTGTGAGCTGAGATCATGCCACTGCACTCCAGCCTGGGCAACAGAATAAGACTCTGTCGAAGAAAGAAAAGGAATAAAGGAAGAAAGAAAGAAAGGAAAGAGAGATGGGGGAGGGGAAAGAGAGAGAGAGAGAGACAGGGAAAGGAAAGGAAATAAAAAAAGAAAGAAAATGAAAGGAAGAAAGAAAGAAAAAAAAATTCATAATCTAGGGCAGCCATTTAAGCTCCTGAGCCTCAATTTCTCTATCTGTAAATTGGAGATTGTTTTTGCAACATATCTTAAAGTGTTTGAAAGAACATCTGGCATCCTCTAATGCTTGGGATAGGTCACCTGTTGTTATAAACATCATTTCAGCCAAATAATGCAGCTAGTCTCCTTACAGTTTGGAGAATAGAACATTAGTTTCTAACTTTTTTTTCATCCAATATGGAGGCAAGTCTGAAGGTCATCCAAGTGACTAAGACATGGCAAGCATTTGGTGATGGAGGAGGTAGAGATGTGACACTAGGAGATAAAATTTCCAGAAAAATGCAGCAATTAACCAAGACATTTTTCCTTTTTTTTTAATGAACCAAAAGCTACACATTTATTAAAAATATCTGTCTTCTGTGCCTGTAAATAAGGGACATCTGGCAACTGGAGCCCCTATTTCTAGTACAGTCTTCTGTTGGTGAAGTCCCACGTGCTTCTTGATGTGAGCAGCAAGCAGGTGTGTCCTTGAGCAGAGAGAGGATCAGCTAGGAGGAGGCCTGGCTGCCTGGACTGGGACCACTCAGTGGCAGCAGCACAGTGCCCAGAGACAGCATGGCTCCCTGAGAATGCATTTGTGGGCTCATCCACTGGGATAAGTTCCCTGAATTCCCTCCATTGGTTATCACAAAAGACCAACTCAGTGCAATAACATTTCAGGCCCCAGAAGCCAAGAATGGTTTGAGTCGGGCAATGATGAAGATAATGGAAGGTGTAGGAGGAGAAAGGAAGATGAAAAGAGGGAGAGGGGGAGAAATGAGAGGGAGGAGTGGAAAGGAGGAGGGTGGAAGAAGGAAATAACACATTACAGGATCATCTACTGTGTGCCAGGCATGGTGTGAGGATTATTTCTAATCCTCCTATCAACCTTGCCAGAAAGGAAATAATGTCTTCTCTTTTACAGGAAATTAAGCCTAGGGGGATACTGATATACAGAAGGCCAGGCAATTTTATGGCAAGGTCAGGATTTGAACCCAGGTCCATTTGACCCCAAACATGATATTGCTGAAGAGCACAACATAAATCTGCCTCCCTGAGGATTTCCTCTATCAGAGTAATTCCCAACATTTTAGAAAGCATCCCCATCAGCATTTTGATTTTCTCTTAATAATTCCTAGGGAAGCATCTTACCCATGAATTCACTTATTTATAATTCAAGTCCCAGCTCATCTGAGCACACCATGGGCTCCAATATGATTCTTTCACAGCAAGCACTAATGGCTTAAAAGTATTGTAAACCTGAGTTGTTATACAGGTATTCATGGTAAACAAATAAAAAGCAAAAACCACAGTGTTCAATATTAAAATAAATTGATTGAATATAGATTTTTATTTTGCAGACTTTCTTGGTATATCTTCTATTAATCTTCAGGGAGCATTTAGCTTATTTACTCCAGGAATTTTGCTGTTTATCTCATTGTATCAAACATTTAATTAAAAGAGCTATCAGCTTGCCTCTAATGCTTTGAGCATGGGAACTGTCTCTTGAGGATATGGTATCTGTTACTGGATGTTTCCAAGTCAGTGAAGGTCAGTCAAATTATTAGTGCTTTTAATTAGTTTTCCCACAAGTGGTCATGCTATTTAGACTCAAAACTATGTGGTAAGGCTTTCCCCTTCTTGCCTTTGAAAATAGCAACAAAAAGCAAAATATGCTGCTAACCACTTTATGAAAAATCCTGTCTTCCAGGACATGGCTTCCCACTGCTTCCACTGTACTTCCAGTCACTTCTAGGAATTGCACTTTTGATCCCGTAATGCGACGGAGCTGGATAACAGCCCTTCGTATCTGCAGAGGGATTTATATGCTACAAGGTACATTTACATATGTGGTTCCCTTTCGTTCTCACTGCAATTGTGACTCCCCAATTTACAGGGCAGACTAAGCAGGCACCGTGAGGCGACATGGTTTTAAAAACATCATACAGCTGGCAAGTGGCAGAGAGGAAACAGGCAGAGAGGAAACGTGACTTTTCTGACTTTAAATACAGTGCGTTATCTGCTGCTTCTGAGATACCATGTGCTTCAGGTGGGGATCTTCCAGTAGCTGACCTCAAGTGAAAAATTTGTGGTGAGCATGATTTACTAGTGAAGTGTTCCAGGAGCAGTCAGCAGGGGAGTGGGAGAAAGTTAGGAAAGATTGGAGAAGGGGGAAAAACCAAGGGTCTGATTTAAGGCCAAGTCCCCATCTCAGCTCAGTCTTCATGGAGCTCCAGAGAGTGATCATACCTTAAAGTTTTTCCTGCTTCAAAGCAGGGGTGCAGCTGGGCCTTTGTATTCTCACACTGATTAGTCTTTGGTTACAGGCAACCCCAAAGCTTGAGGGAACTTAAATTGCCAGGCATTTACCATTCCAGTGCCCAAAGGCAAAAATCCACTGAGGATCCCTGAAGCGAGGCTTTGTCAGCAAAGCATGGAAAGGTGGTGCTGGGCACACATGGCTGCAAAAGGGATCCCAGGAGATCCAGGTGGGGTGTGCACAGTGTCCACTATACCATGCATGTATTCATTCACCCAGCAAGGGTGTCCAGAGCACTTCCTAAGTGTAAAATAACTCTATCAAAAGTATATCCCTGAGGTTCTCTTTCCCCAGCTTTATCTTCTTTATAATATTTATTCCTGTCCCTGATTTCTTTCTTCCTTGATGTTTACTTGTATATTGTTTATTTTTTCCTATGAGAATTTAAGTTTCTTGGGAACCTGAACTCATTCTGCCAAGTTTATCACAGTATCCAGGAAAGACTTTCCTGAAGAGGTCAGTCATGTCTTCCAGGAGAAGCCAGCCATGAGAAGACTGGGGAAGAACAGCCTAGGCAGAGGGCATAAGAGGTACAAGGAGACTGAGTTGGAAGTAAACTTAGTGACAGGGATGGAGCAAGAGGAAGGAAATGTGGGAGTAGGTGAGATAACATAGAGTTTTGTGTGCCATGGTAAGTAGGGTGACCTTCACTGAAGCCTCAATTGGAAGCCATCAGGGAGAGGTGAGCCACTCCAAAGCCTTTGTGGAAATGACCCCTCATCAACTCTCTTGACAAGATTCTTTCAATCACAGTATGTATCATGGATAAGCTGTAAAAGCTTTCCACGGATTGATTTTCCATTCAGCAGTTTGTTGATGAATGCCAAAAGGATATATGTAGACTCGTGTCAACAAGATATGATAGTGAGGTTTTATAATGAGAGACAAATTATCCCCCCACACACGGAATAGAAAATCTTTGCAGTGTTGCAATCTCAATACTTGCTGAGCTTAGCAAGTCAGGATGTGTTTCCTGAATTAAAATTTCAATAGGAGGATGCATCCAGTTTACCCCTTTTCTTCCTCAATGTGCATCTCTGAATAGCTACTCAAACCCCGCAACCCTTGTTACATTTCATTTCAGTGGCGAATGAGAGAGCAGGTGTTTTTACTCCTGTCTTAGTGATGTGGGAAGTACAGCTCCATGAGGGAAGATTAGTGATATATCTGAGTAGAAGGAAGCAGTGGGAAATTGAAACAACAACAACAACAACAACAACTCTCTGCTCCTTTTGTGTGCGTTGAAGACATTTCAGGTGAGTCAGGAGTGCTGATGCTGAGACTGATTTGGCTGTATGGAAAAGAGGAGCTGTCAGATAATTTTGTCTCTGGGTAGGGCTTAGAGATGACTTTTTTAACGTCACAGATGAGGTACCCACAGCCTAAAGTGCTCCTTCACCCTTTTCTCATCTAGGCAAATAGGCCTTCCTCAACATTACACTTTCAAAAGGATGATTTTCAACCTAAGCACTTGAGTCACAGGCCATTCACAAGCATCATCAGAAAGATCATGTAAAAAGAAAATATGACCGCTTGGGAAAACCATGCTTCCAAACTAGAACTGGAATCTTTTAGACCTAGGAGAGCTAAGCTCAAGGTTCTATTTCAAAAACTTTGAAAAAGATGCCAGTTTGAGATAAAAACCCTTCTGGCTTTTGTGCATTAGAGTTGATGGATCTCAGTGAGAAGCACCTGAATCTCTTCCTCCTGAAAGGACAGCAGTTAAGACCAGTCCTCAGACAGAGAGGAAAGCAAGGTGACCTTACCTTTTTGTCACTGAGGCCAGTCACTTGGTCCACAAATTCCTCCTGGATCATGAAAGCGGCCAGATTGGCTGTGTAGCTGGCCAGGAATATGACAGCAAAGAAGGCCCATACAGATACCATGATCTTGCTGGTGGTCCCTTTAGGATTCTGAACAGGCACGGAGTTATTGAACACGAGGCCCCAAAGAAGCCATATAGCTTTTCCAATTGTAAAAGAAGGCCCTTGGGGTGCTGCAGATGACAAAAAGAACATTCTCAATATTTTCTCAAAAAATACATATTTGTGTGTGTACAAGAACCATGCAGCAGCCACCAGCAACACTGAGGGTTGCCAGAATATGAAATTATATCATAGTTGCATCCTGGGACCCTCCTAAAACCACAGCCACAATAACTTATTTTTTCTTTAAAAGTTAGTATTCTTCTCACATTTCTATCTAACTGGATTTTTGCCACATTCCTTTAAAAAAAGAAAGAAAGAAAACGAAAATGGTTATGCAAAATGGGGGTTTGAATAAGAAGCAGTGTTATGACCTGTTTTAAATTTGGACTTGATTCTCATTTGAGGGAACCAATCTTCTTAATAAACATAAAGAGAACCTGACAAAAATGTGTGCATGGGGACTGCTTCCAAATTCATCGGATGTGCTATCGTATAAGAACCATGCAATTCAGCGGGACTGATGTTTGGTATTCTAATGCAATTGTCCCTGCAATTGCTCCTGTTCAAACTCAGATGTAAAGTGTGCACAACATAAGAATTAAACCAAACTAAAACCCTCTCCAAATGGAGACATTAAGGAATGGAACAATAGATCTTAATTCTTCCAGCGCTTCACAGATGGAAGACATTTCATTGCAGGGTCATGGAAATTGAACACTGATGTCATGTCACACCACTTTTTTCAATATATCCTTGCAATAGCTATGCAGCCCTTTTAAGATTTTTAAATGCTCCTTGCAACAGACTTAACTAAAGAGACAGAATAATATGTCAGAATTTATGGAGATGGGGCATATGCAGGCTGTAAAACATACACGTTAGGGTTTTCAAGTCTTTGTTTTGCACAGGAAAAAAATCAATTTATGTCCTCATTTCATGGGGAAGAAGGTATTTCCTTAACAGGAGGTTAATTTTTATATCGCTTAAGTAAATGAAGACATGAAAAAATGATCTACTCAGATGTCACCTGGCAATGCAAGCAGAGTGGGCAATAAATAAAGTGGCAGAAGTGAATTCACATTAATGGAAGTTATGAAGTGCTGGGCAGGAAGCCTCAGAAAAGCAAGCTCTCTGTACACTGGAGGCCAAATGCAGGCTATAGCAATGCTTATACTATCCACAATGCAACCCATTAAAGAGAAGGCAGTTAATTCTCTTATTCTCAATCTCAGTCTCTCCTGTTTCTATTTGCCTCATTTTATGTTCTTCTGGGCTTATTCTTAAAAGGCGGGAAATTCTTGGGAAAAATTTAGAGTTAATCCCGTCAACTTTATGAACTACTTAATTTTTTAAGGGATTCACATTCATCATAAGTAACAGCTATTTGGGAATCAGATGTAGGCAGTTGCAAAGGATCGGTCCAAGACTTCTAGGAATTCCTGATTCATATAACTGGGCCATATAACTTTTCCCATAAAGTGCAGTGAAATGTAACAGAAAACCATTTTGCACAAAGAAACAAGTAGCTATTATTTCCTGAAAGTTGCCACATGCAGATGAGCTGGCAACAGAGAGCCTGAAGAGAATGAAGGGGCTGGGGAGTTTGCACACCTGATGGCATCCTTTACAATAGTCTTTCCGGCATGCTTCAGTCGAAGGAGAATGTATTGCACAGGACGGCCTGTGGGTCATTTTTACCTTCCAAGATGTATATCAGATTTACTCGCTTATCTGTATTTTCATTGTTCTTGTCCAGTTCCAAGTCACTGCAATCCTTTCCCTTGAAAAACTGACACTTTAACTGCCCCTCCACTTCCGTTTTCAACTGTTCTCCCCACCCGCTATCCAGATAAAGTAGCCCCAGTGACCTTTTTGCTTGTACATGTATGTCACCCCTCTCCCTGCCATTGTTTTTTTGTTTTTGTCTTGTTTGTTTGTTTTTGAGACGGAATCTTACTCTGTCACTCAGGCTGCAGTGCAGTGGCACAATCTCGGCTTACTGCATCCTCTCCCTCCGGGGGTTCAAGGGATTCTTCTGCCTCAGCCTCCTGAGTAGTTGAGACTACATGCACATGCCACCACACCCTGCTAATTTTTGTATTTTTAGTAGAGGTGGAGTTTTACCATGTTGGCCAGGCTGGTCTGGAACTCTTGACTTCAAGTTATCCGCCCACCTCAGTCTCCCAAAGTGCTGGGATTACAGGCATGAGCCACCACGCCCAGCCTCCCTCCACCGTGTTTTGAAGAAAGTCTGACATGCTTACCATGGTCAATTGCCTGTCTCTCTGATTTCATCTTATACTATTGTCTACCTCATTCACTCATGTCTTTTTAATTTACTTTTTAATATAGACAGGGTTTTGCTCTGTTGACTAGGCTAGAGGGCAGTGATCATAGCCCACTGCAACCTCAACCTCCTGGGCTCAAGTAATTCTCCTACCTCAGCCTTCTAAGCAGCTGGGACTACAGGCATGCATCACCACACCTGGCTAATTATTATTTTTTATTTTATTTTATTTTTATATATTTATGCAGAGATGAGGTCTCGCTATGTTACCCAGTCTAGTCTCAAACTCCTGAACTCAGGCACTCCTCCTGCCTTGGCCTAAAAAAGACTTGGGATTACGGGCATGAGCCACTATGGCCCCTCAGCCTTTTTCTATTTCTTGAACATCTCAAGATTAATTTCAGCCTTTTCTGTTTGCTGTTCCTCTTGAATGAAATGATTGTATCTGTTTTTCACAGACACACTCTTATGTCACTCTTCAGGCTACATGTTCAGCTCAGTGAGCATCCTTTCCCATTGGACCATCCTGTCTAATGTAGAGTCCTTACCCCATCACTATCATGTCACAATGTTTTTTCTTCTTCTTCTTGATATTTATTACAATCTGTGATTATTAATTTGTGTGTCTACATTATTTTCGCAACTAAATTCTAAGCTCCTTGATAGAAAATCTCTCTCTGATTTACCCTCTGGCAGCAGTATAGTGCCTCCTGGCACATAGTACCCACTCAATAAATATTCATCAGATAAATGTGTAAATTCACAACAGCACAAGCCCTGATTACGCAAATGTAAAGATCTACTCTACCACAGTATGGTCACTCACAGAAACTATCTCAGATTCCACTCTGTTGGAAATGTTCTTAGTGGTTTAATTACCCTTTAAATGAAGGTTTGCAATCTCCCATTAAACACAAGATTATTTATGGCATTATTAATATTTGGTTGATTGAGGATGGTTTATGTGGTGATCACCACTCTTCAATGGTGAGGAAGAAGTTGAAAGATTTCAGTAAAACTAGGTTCCTAATAGATTCCCATGACCTGTTGACTGTTGGCAATATTAAAACATCCAAGTGAAAATAATATGTATCAATCACATTAAAGCGCTCTGCTTTCTGGGGGATAGGAGACTTTAAGTTCTATCCCCTACCATATGAAGTCATTTTTTGGGGAAAGAGATTTGGCCCTGACACTTTTCTGATAACACCCACTTAGAAGGTAGTGCCCACTGAGGAAAGCCCACTCAAAATGGTGTAATGTGTTCATGTGTATGACATAAACCCTGGCTAGAGTGGGATCCTTTTAATGAGTTATAGCCAACAAATGCCTCCCAATTCAATTTCCTATCTACTGATTGTCCCTTTATTGTCCCTTCAATGTACTAAGAACAATGCACTTGATCTTAGTGCACTTGATTTCCTCTTGGCACCACCAAGAGGAAAATATAACTCTATGAGGAAAGATATTACTTTATAGTTATATTTATCGTCAAACTAATGTAAATTGATTCAGTAGTTTGAGAAATGTTCTTAAACTAGATTTTATAATATCATTTTCTTTGCATAGACTGAAGTTGAAACCCATTACAATTTTAGCATTTCTTTTGACATGCATTTTCTAAAATTAATTGCCAGAAAAGCTCCTTCAAATCTGCTTTCCCAAGAAATTGAACACCAATGGCTTTCACCTAACAACTATTGACTTCAGGTTATAACAAGATTAAATTATTTCATTTCATTTTATCCTTCAGTTGAAGTAAAGAAACCATACTTGTCTAGCATTACGAGTAATATCAATGACCCAACACCATTCATACAATGGTACATCAAGGCAGTATAGAGTAACGTATTTTTTTTTAATGGATTCTTGCTCTGTTGCTCAGGCTAGAGTGCAGTGGCACAATCTCGACTCACTGTAACCTCTGCCTCCCTGTTTCAAGCAATTCTCCTGCCTCAGCCTCCTGAGTAGCTGGGATTACAGGTATGCACCACCACATCCAGTTAATTTTTGTATTTTTAGTAGAGATGGGGTTTCACCATATTGGTCAGGCTGGCCCTGAACTCCTGACCTCAAGTGATCCACCCACCTTAGCCTCCCAAAGTGCTGGGATTATAGGCATGAGCCACCATGCCTGGCCTAGAGTATTCTAAAACTGAAAATTTCATTAAAGGCAAATGAAATAGCATCAATATTGAATCATGCTTATAAAGGAGTCCTTACCTTTCCCTTTGGCTAAATTTCTGTTGTATCCAACAGGGCTGAAGTATTCAAAGACAAAAACAGCTATGGCAGAAACAATGAGCAGCATCACAAACATCATCACCCAGACAGAGGCGCTGAATGGTTCTGCAAATAAATAGATGGAGGAATGGAAACGTGATCAGGTATCTTTTCCTTACTTCCAGCAGGAAGCCCAGACATCCATTTGCAAGCTCACCAAAAATATTTTCTCTAATTTGAATCTGATCCTTCAAAAGAAGCTAGTCATTTTTGCTTCTTCTTTTTTTTTTTTTTTTTTTTATTTTTTTTCTGCAGGGTTTCACTCACTGTGTCACCCGGCTGGAGTGCAGTGACAGGATCTCTGCTTGCTGCAATCTCTCTCTCCTGGGTTCAAGCAATTATCTTGCCTCAGCCTTTTGAGTAGCTGGGACTACAGGCATGTGCCACCATGCCTGGCTAATTTTTGTATTTTTAGTTGAGGTGGAGTTTCACCATGTTGCCCAGGCTGGTCTTGAACTCCTGACCTCAGGTGATCCACCAACCTCAGCTTCTCAAAGTGCTAGGATTATAGGCGTGAGCCACCACACCCGGCCAGCCAGCCATTTTTTATTCTTCAATTTAAATTATTCTTTATTCTACAAAATATTAGAGATATTTTATAAGACTACAGATAATATAATAAATATAGAGAAGAGCAGAAGACATTTTACAAATTAGGTCAAGGATAATCAGAACAAAAAGAGTGATAAGAAAAGGGAGAAAGTCAGAATGCAAATAAACATGCCACAGGTTCCTTCGTAATTACAGAGCTATCCAGCAGGCTAAAGCTAAAAAGGAAGATTATACCCAAATAGTTAACCATAGGCTCCTGCAAATCGTTACAGTTTTTATTTTTTCATGCTAGAAAGATGATATGCAGGGAATTCTAAAAATAAAGGGGGAATTATAACCTGTTGGAAAAGAATTATAAAATCATGGGTGACAGAAATATTAGAAAGTTATAACTATCACACTCTCCATTTCACCTTTTGCTTGAGACAGATGAGACTGCTACAGCTTTATTAATCTTGTTGATGTTGGTAGCAGCCTTAAATTCAATTGAAAGTCTATTGAGGATATTACCTTCACATAATAATTCAATAAAAAGTCATCACTTAAAGGGTAGAGGCAATAAAATATTAGATGGATAGATGGTTTTTCCACTAAAAGTAGTTTTAGTCAGCTCATTTGCATGTGACTTAGGCAGTAGTGGATATCTCAGAAGGGCAGGCCAAGTCATAAGGCTCTAGGCTGTAGAACACTCTAGAAAGGTAAGAAATATTATGTAAAATAATTTAAGACGTCTATTCAACTTGATTGAGGATATGAAAATTAGCTGACGGAAGTCCTTTTATTCATTTATGGTATACATTTGCTACAAAATCTACAGAAAGTAAATTTTAAAAATGAATACATTTCCACCAAAATGTATCATGGGGAAGAAACTTCCCATAGACACCAATGAACTTAAAACCCTTTTCCTCATAAGCAAATATTTTCTGAGGGTTAAAATAAGTCCAAGAATACCTCTTGAAGAGTAAACACATTATTATTTTTAAATTGCTTTCCTAATGAAGTTACTTATAATAATAAAAACTAGGTTGATTGCAGGCCACCTTCTGATTAGAGTATGACTACTTAGCACAGCTAGAGGTCATCACAAATTCCAATTTAATGAGCTTACTGTTTAATAAGAAATTAATATGTCTGAACTTTAGCTATATTGGATGATTTAAAAGCTGGAAGAAATTATTTCGAATGCAGTTTGATAGTGCAAACATATTAAAAAGCAACAGGTAACACAACTCACTTCAGTAACGTAAGATGCGCTCCAATAAATCAATGAGATTGCAATTGAAATAGTAATAAACAATATTATGTCCCTGAAATCACAGCACTTTAATAATGAGTTGTATCCAAAAAGGAAGTTAGATAAATAAATGATTAGGAGATTTAAAACTACTTCATATTCAAGAATAAAGTAATTCTCCGAGCTGCATGGTGTGTCTTATCAGAGGAAGATCACTGTGATGAGTAAATGAGCACTTACATGAAAGTGTCTGTTCGTGTGCAAGGCACACAACATACAGACAATATATTGAATGGAATAGCTGTTTGATTCCAGGATTAAAGCAAGAAATACGGAGCAATATGCTGTCCATGGTACTGAAAAGGGCATGCTGGTTTTTGAAAAAGCGCATTTATTAATTGGGTAACTTCTATTTCTCTGAAGGCTATGAAAATATTATTTTTAAATATTAGAAGGGACCATAACTGAATTATCCTATGCACATGTCAGAATCTGTAAACCTGCAGTGAACTTTTTTTGGCAGGTGCATCCTTTTTACTAACACGCCAGTCAGAAAATCAAGTGGAAACTGATGAAGCAATGGATCCCAAATGTCTCCCTATTTGGAATTGACCACATCTGTTCCTTAACTTGTAAGCACAGCACAGATCAAAGGACTCTGCTGCGTAGTCTGGTTTTAGTAAAACAAGCACCTATGAGTGCCCCGAAGGGTTACTATTCTCAGACATGACACATGTGCATGCCATGTGTGCACACACACTCCCAGAATTAAAACAAACAAACAAACAAACAAAAAAACCCAATAACATTAGAACAGAGTTAAAGCACTGTCTATAGTGTCTAAGGACTGACCCAGAAATAGTTTAAATACCTCTCTATTACATCCTCTAATGGCTTAAAACAGATGCAACTTTCATCCATGAAGGAACTGCAATCGAGGAGATACCAGGTCAGCATTTCTTTGGATCAAAGAATCCAACATTTTTGGAAAGTCTTCAGAATTAACTAGATGGAAATATTGCAGGAGATGCCATCTCTGTCCTTGAAGAGCCACTGGTTACATTTTTACACAAAAGTTTAAAGGCATTACCTGCAAGTGCTTCTGATGTGAGTTAATGGAGTTTGCGGAGGAGAGAGAAGAGGAAATAATGAAGAGCAACACAATCAGATTTTGAATGTTTTGGCTCTTTCAGATGACTGAGCCAGTGAATGGAAAAATGTGGCTTAGCATGGTTCATTATGACTTTCAAAATCTGCAGAAAATGACCATAAATAAGGGGGTGCACAATCAAATAGGGATGTAACTTAGTGACTAGGAAAAATATTAAGCCTACTGTGTAAAAACAGCTTTGAAAATAGTTTCCTCTGGTTACAATTTATTTTACTTTATTTTACTTTTAATAATGCAGCAGGAAAAGTATGGAGGAAAGGAGGTTTTGCTAAATTTAGCAACATACTCAACTTTTTTATGGAAATGTTTTACAAATGCAAGTAAGATAAAAATCTAGAGAAACTGGGTTGACGCCAGATTCAATATCAGGGAACCATTTTCATAAGACAAGCCAATTGATATTTTTTTCTTTCTGATGGAATTGGAAAAAGAGTTCTCTCTAGCTCACTAAAGTGACCTAATTGTTTTCTTATTTTGAAAAGAAACAATTTCTTTCCATTTTGTTCCATGAACTCACTTCCCCCAACCCTTTCTAACCTCCAGGGCAAAGGATTCCTGCCAAAGAGTCTGAAAGGTAATGAAGGGAAACATTACTAGGAGTGACTAAAGAGTGAATGTCCATCTAAGAATTATTAAGATTCTGCATGTGTTGTCAATATCAGCTGGTTGCATAGAGAGGCTCTCTTATCAGATATGAGTATCTGAATCCATGTCAGAGGGACAAAAAGAACATAATGAGGTGTGTATTAGTCAGTGTCCACATTACTCCAAAAAAGGTTACAAAAATGGAAGCAACAAGTGCAAAATCAAATCCAGAGAGTGCCAAGGATTTTAACAGCTTAAATGGATTATCAAAAATGAAGACAGTAAATCCATAGGGCTCTGAATGCAACGCAGTATCCAAAATCCTGTTGGTCAATATTTCACTGAAGAGAATGAAGCATAAAAGTTTCATTGGATGATAACATTACATATAAATGAAGACAGCAGAAGAATAAGACAATGGGTTTGGAGTTGGTGTCCACAAATTGGTTCCAATTTACAATTTGCTTTAGTAGATAACAGATTTTTGTCTCTGGAAAAATATAAGAAAGTAGTTGACCTTAATATAACGGTTTTCCCAGTGTGGAGATTTCTCAAAGAACTAAAAGTAGATCCAGCAATTTCATTACTGGGTATCTACCCAAAGGAAAATAAATCACTATATCAAAAAGACACCTGCACACATATGTTTATCACAGCACAACTCACAATTGCAAAGATATGGAATCAACCTATGTGCCTATCAACTGATGATTGCATAAAGAAAATGTGGTATATATATACCATGGAATACTACTCAGCCATAAAAAAGAATGACACAATGTTTTTTACGCAACTTGGATGAAACTGGAGGCCATCATCCTAAATATTTGCTAGTCATCTAGCAAACAAATGACTGTCATTCTTTGTGGGATGGATGATGGGTATGTAGATGCTGAATACATGTTTATGGGCTGATTTGAATTAACTGTGGACTGACAAGTTCTTTTAAAAAATGTTTTCAAGACTCTAAGCAATAGAGCTCTTAATTTACATTCTACAGAGTCAAGACCAGTATCTGAATATGTAATCATATTTTTTTCAGTAGCTCTTTCTAAGTTTAAAATAAATGAAAGATGTGAACTAGTGGATGGATTTTTCAGGAATGAAAAATCTAATACTCCATGTCCTCACTTTACAAGTGAGAGCTACGCTATGGGTATGAAAAAGCACACAAGTGGTATAATGGAAACTGGAGACTTAGAAAGGGAGAGAAAGGAAGGGAGATAAATGATGAAAAATTACCTACAATGTACACTGTCTAGGTGACAGGTACACTGAAGGCCCAGACTTCACCACTATATAATTCATCCATGGAACCAAAAACCACTTGTGCCCCTGAGCTATTGAAATTTTTTTTTTTTTTTTGAGTCGGAGTTTCGCTCTTGTTACCCAGGCTGGAGTGCAATGGCACAATCTCGGCTCACCGCAACCTCCGCCTCCTGGGTTCAGGCAATTCACCTGCCTCAGCCTCCTGAGTAGCTGGGATTACAGGCACGTGCCACCATGCCCAGCTAATTTTTTTGTATTTTTAGTAGAGACGGGGTTTCACCATGTTGACCAGGATGGTCTCGATCTCTTGACCTCGTGATCCACCCGCCTCGGCCTCCCAAAGTGCTGGGATTACAGGCGTGAGCCACCACGCCCGGCCTGAAATTTTTTAAAAAATTAAATATATAATATTTTGCCCCACTCCTACAGTTTTCCTACAGAGATTCAGGCTTGTCTTAACCTTCCCTAATTCGGGGCAAACCCACTTATATGGGAGTGCCAAGGGGAAATTATTTATCTGAATTTCATGATATTCAAGAAGATAGTTACTGTCAAAAGTCATTTATGATAACCAAACAGTTAATACAACACTTTCCTTTAAAGAAAAAAATAATGTTTCACTATGTTCTGTGAAGTTTCAACTACTCTAGCCAGGCTACCCAATATAGTCAAATTGCTAGAGAAGAGCACAGAATAGAAAATATAGCTCCTTGATTAAAAAAAAAACACTTTTATGTAAAAACATAAATTTATGAAATGGTTAAAAAATCAAAAGAATTTCCTTCTTTACAAACTATTTGGCTTAATAGGTAGTCATATTTAAAATATGATTCCATTACTTTTAAATCAGCATATACTTTTCAGACTACTTTTATTTTGTTTAGCAGAATACTGGCATAAATCATTGGGCAGTCATCATTAGTTTAAGTCTTATATCTAGCAAACAAACGACTACCGTTCTTTGTGTGATGGAGGAGGGATATGTAGATGCTGAATAAAGGTTTATGAACTGGTTTAAATTAACTGTGGACAGACAGGTTTATTTTTAAAATGTTTTCAAGACTGCAAGCAATATATCTATTAATTTACATTTTACAGAGTCAAGACCGGTATCTAGGCCGGGCGCGGTGGCTCACGCCTGTAATCCCAGCACTTTGGGAGGCTGAGGCGGGTGGATCACGAGGTCAAGAGATCGAGACCATCCTGGTCAACACGGTGAAACCCCGTCTCTACTAAAAATACAAAAAATTAGCTGGGCATGGTGGCGCGTGCCTGTAATCCCAGCTACTCAGGAGGCTGAGGCAGGAGAATTGCCTGAACCCGGGAGGCGGAGGTTGCAGTGAGCCGAGATCGCGCCATTGCACTCCAGCCTGGGTAACAAGAGCGAAACTCTGTCTCAAAAAAAAAAAAAAAAAAAAAAAAAAAAAAGAC